AGCAGGCCAGGCCAGAGGAGCCCAACAAACACTGCCCGAGTCACAGCAGGGAGAGTCCACAGAGGCCAGAGGGCGAAGGCGGACAAGGTGCACGAGCCAGAAGCCAAGGGGAAGGCGGGCCCCACCCAGCCGCATCTACACCCTGGAGTGCACTGGGAGGCACAGAACGCCTGCCTGGGCCAGTAAGGCCAGAGGGGCGCTTGTGCAGTGCGCCCCAGAAGGGGTGTGAGAACGGGGCCTGTTCTCTGTGTAAGCGGGAGCCCCCCCACCAGCATGGGAGTTCTTTGGGGCCCCGCCCAGGCCCGTCCCAGGAGCACTGTCCCTACTGGCTCTGCCTGGACACGGCTTTGCGTTCTTCCATTGCCACATCAGGGACCAGGACCCCGAACCTGGAAACAGAGCCACATGCAAAAGCCAGGTACACAGGTCATCAGACAGCCCTGGCGCAGAAGCCTAGAGACTGGCAGGGAGGCGCGAGACAAAACTCAGGGAGACCTCTAAGGAGCGGCCCCAGGAGGGGAGAGTCACTGTCCAGGTTTGTAGGAGCAAATCGGCAAGGGAGTAACAGGTCATTTATCCCAGAACCTCCAGGCAGGCTTCTCAGGGACTGCCACAGGGCAGGCTCCTCACAATTCCAGAAATGACTTCCGCCTACAAAATGAGCTATTATCATGCTAACAGACCTCTCTCTAGAAAGAGATTTTCATGCAATTCTGTGTTGCCATAAAATATCCACCTCAATAACATGTCAGCCAAGTTAGAGTTGTTCTCTTCAGGAATCCAAGCTGTTTGATGCGTATTTGAGTGAGTCATTTTGCAGATCTGGATGCAATGGGAGAGTAGCAACAAATGGTTTACAAGTAAAGGTGACGGACCAAAAATATCGGGCATTCATGTAACGTGAGCATGTTTATGCCCGGAGACGTGGAGAGCTGATGTTATTTTCAAACTTGTTGGCGACAGGCTTTTTTTTCAAATTTACTTCAGAGAACTTTTGATATATTACTTTACGTTCATGAGGAAAAGGCAAGTATCTCTAATTTCTCTGCATCAAAAAGACTATGAGGTTCCTGAATACTGAAAGAGTACTTGCAAGTTGAGGAAGGGTTTACTACTCAGAATATATAAAGACCTACAACTTGCCAATCAAAAAAGTCAATTCAAAACTGGGCAAAGGACGAAACAGATGTTCCGCCAGCGAGCACAGCGACAGATGCTCGGAGGCATCTCCAGCAGGGAAGCACACCTGCTCATTCCAGCCCACACCCCCGGGGCGGGGGCGCAGAGCGCGGACGGGCGGGAGGGCGCAGGGTGTGCAGGGCCGCCCTTGCCGCTGGAGGCTAAACACAGCGGACGCAGGCGTGCCGAGTTGGCGGCGCCGAGAGCCGAAGCTGGCCAGCGTCTGACCGGCCGCGCCCACAGCTGCACGCTCGCCACAGCCGGGCCTGAGCCCACCTGCACATCTTCTGAAGCACGAAGAGACGCACAGAATGTGTCACTGCATTATACATACTCCAGCCTTGCCGAAGGCCAGAATTCTGATCTTCTCTACGGCAGGGCTGACCTGAGGGCATCGTCCTCAGTGAGGGAAGTCTGGCCCAAGGACAAACCAACTGTGGCTCCTGCTGCGCAAAGCGATCAGAGAGGAGCCTAGAGACAGGCGGTGAAGCGGTGGCGCAGGGCCGGGCCGGGGCAGCGGCGAGTCTGCGTGGGGGCAGAGGGCTAACTGGGGATGACGAGAGTCTGCGGAGCTGGAGCTGGTTGCGCCGAAATGTGACTGAAGTACTGTGCTGGCCACCTGCAGTCCCTACGGCTGAGAAGGGCCTGATGTCATGATCTGCACAGAGCTCTCGCCCCTCAACAGGAACAAGCATCCTGCGGAAAGGGAGCAGAGCGAGAGACACTTCTCAAAAGAGCAAATGCAGGTGGCCAGCAGACTGGGAAAATGCCCCACGTCACGCACAGTCAGGGAAACACAAGTGTCAGCCACAACGAGAGCGCTGATACCAGTGGCCCACAAGAAAGCAACTGGCAGCAACAAACACGGCGACGGAGAACTCGGAGCGCGCTCAAGGGCCGCAGGGACCAACGCAACGCAGCCCGCCAGTCTGCGGAAGTCGCTTCCTCCCGGGAGCTGCCCCATCAGCCCGCAGCTCTCCTCCTGGACTCCACCCACAGGGCACAAAACAATGCCAGCGGACACCCGCCCGGCCCACGTTTATTGTAGCACTGTGCATAGTAGCTGCGACAGGGAAGCAACCCAGAGCCCCAAACAAACGGGTCGGAAGTGGCCAGCACACACACTGGGACACCCGGGCTGTCCACTGCAGCAGGGACGGAGCTGGAAGGAATGACGCTCAGCAGAGTCAGGAGGAAAGAGAAATATCATGTGGTTTCACTCCAGGAGGACTCGAGTGACAGTGAACAAAGGGTCAACAAGGAAACTTGAAGGCAAATCACACCTGGGCAGGGCAGAGGAGGCAAGCGGAGGCGGAGTGCGGGCTCAGGTGCTGTCTGCACTGTCACCCGAAAGAGCGCGCCCCATGACGAGACCCCGGCGCCTAGGCGGTCATGGGCGCACCTGCCTCAGGCCTCACAGTGGACGGGCACCGGCAGCCCAGGCTACCTCGGCACGAGGGCGCAAGGGCTGCGGTCAGGGTGAGCAGCGCAAGCTTTACGTTTATGAGTTTCATTTCTCACTTGTGAATTCCGTCTCGTGCTGACACAGCCTCCGCGCAAAGGCATAGTAAGATCTGTCCAGTGTGCGCCAGAGAGAGCACAAACAAGTGTGGAATTCTAACTGAGCCGGAGAGAGGTTCTGTCTCTGAAACAGAAGTGCTCAAGCCTCTCAGGAGCCGCACAGTGTGCAGGGAAGAGGGGTGCGGGTGGGGTGGTCTGCAGGGTGGGTCTGACTGCAGGAGCCAGAGAGCAGAGCATCCAAGAAGGTACGTGTCACTGTCACGTTTCAAGATGGCAAATGCGGGAGGATGATGGAGAGAAAGAGCAACTCTTCACTGGAAAATAGGAAAACCGTGTGCACGTTTGTAGGTGGGTGATGTGTGAAGAGGTGAGGTGTGTGCGCAGACATGGGGGGTTGTGGGTGTGCGGGTAAGGGGGGAGAAGTCGTCTCCCGGGAAGGGTGTGGAACTGACAGATGGCTTCTTGGTAAATAGACACACAATCTTGCAAGAATCTGACGCAACACAGACACACAGCAACATGCCTCACGGATAGACCAGAACCTGTGGGCTCCCATTCAAGCCTCAACAGTGTCAGTGACATGCAAGAAAAAAGCAAAGCGGGGGGGGATTCTCCCCGACAGGACACATGTCACACGCTTCAGGTGCCCGGTACTCAACTGAGGAAAAGCTGCAGTCCTTTTCTGCTCTGGCCTCCCAGGGTCGGAAGGGGGAGCAGACACTTTGCTGCTGCTCAGGGGAAGCTGGATGTGCCCCTAAGAAGTGCAGCAGGGTTCAGGCTCAGCCGCGGTGACCGGAGGTGGTGGGGCAGCCACCTGGGCACGCTCTCCCCAGGGCCGCAGGGTGAGGGCGGCGGGCTGCAGCTGCGAGGCAGTTATGTAAGCCGCGGCCCCAGTGACGGCTTCCTTCATAGATAAAAACGAGGCGAGGGTTACACGAGCTGTACGGCTCACAGGGAAGGCCGGGCCTGCAGGACACGCACGGTGGGGTCTGCTCCCCCCAAGCCGAGGCTCCCCACTTCCTCAGAGAGTGGAATTACCAGGCTCCTGCAGGTTCTGGCGCCCAGTTCAGCCAGCTCGTGTCTGGCGCCACAGCCAGGCGGAGGTGCTGGGGGACTGAGGTGCTGGAGTACTAGGCTGTGGTCTGGGGTCTCCCAGATTATTTCGGGCAGGGCTCCCCTCTATTTCTGCGTGCTTCCCCACTCTCTGCGTGCTTCCACCACTCTCTGCTCAGGAAGAATAGCCCCTTGACTAAGTCTTTCAAATACTGAGTATCTGTTTCAAGTTTTCTTAAAAATGGTACCTCACATTTGTATCTGTAGTGATTGAGTGAGAACTTGGGAAAATAAGCTTTCTTCTCCTTAGACTTAAACGTCAGCTGCACACACAAAGTTTCCATGACATTTCATGACACATCCTTAACCTCTCTGGAAGACAGGCTCACATCACACACAGGGCTGCAGCCTCTCCTGTTCATCAGAATGAGCACAGTGACCAAGGTAAGGGACACGCCCCTGGGCTCTGGCACAGCACCCCCCCCCCAGGCCGCAGCTGGGGTTCCTTTATCACGACAGAGGCTTCACCCCAGCCCAGACCGAACCTGCAACTTAGCTGGCGCGCACATTGCACCGAGTTGATTATGAGTAAGCAAGTGTCAGCAACACTGAAACACCTGAGTTCAGACCCCCGTTGGGAGTGTCATGGGGTGGGGGTGCCACCTTCTGAGGAGGTACCCACAGGGCTACAACACCGAGCCTCTGCTTTTAACCCCTGATTCTGAAGTGTCTGTCCCGCTGCCTTCCAGGGCTGGGGCTTAGCAGCCTCCTGCCGGCCAGCGAGGCTCTGGAAATGAGCCACAGCCTGCGCGAAGCTCCCAGCTGAGAGCAATCTTTGCTAAGCTCCCCTCGGGAGGCAAAGCCCGCCGTGGGGCGCGTGGGGAGGGGCGCGTGGGGAGGGGCGCGTGGGGAGGGGCGCGTGGGGAGGGGCGCGTGGGGAGCGGCGCGTGGGGAGCGGCGCAGGCATAGCAGGAGTGGGGCGAGCAGCACCGACCAGGCAGAAGGGGAGGTGGGTGACGGACAGCGAGGGCCGGCAGGTGGCCCTGGCAGGTCCATTTCACCCAAGTTTTGCAGCCAGTTTCCACCCGTCCGCTCGTCCCCCGCAGGGACACCTTCCCGCCTCCGACCCTCAGGGGCCCTGGGCCGGGTCCTCCCCAGGAGCCCGCCGAAGCGGGGCGCCCTGCCGGCAGTCCTCGCTCCCACCCCCCACCCCGGACCCCGGCCGGCCGGCGCCCCGCGGCGCTCACCTGTCCACCGCGATGGCCGTCATGGAGTAGATGCTGGCGAACACCGCCGTGATGGGGAAGAAGTTCTGGAAGCGACAGTAGCTGGCGCCGAAGTACCACTCGCTGTGCAGCGCGTAGATGAAGTTGACCAGGGTGTTGAAGGCGGCCATGGACGCGTCGGAGAAGGCCAGGTTCACGAGGAAGTAGTTGGTGACGGTCCGCATGCGCTTGTGCGCCAGGATGATCCAGATGACCGTGACATTGCCGAGCACGGCCACGGCCACCACGGCGCCGTAGGCCAGGGACCAGAGCGCGATGCGCCAGGACGGCTGCACGAACTGGTTGGTGAGGTTGGCGCGCGGCTGCGCGGGCGCGGGCGAGGCGTGCGGCGGCCCGA